CTTTCAAATGCTTATACTGTATGAGTATAGTTTACATTTATTTGTTAATTTGTTTAAGATATTTCTTTGCTGCAACAATCAAAATGACTCTAGGCAGCTTACAGAGAAAAAAATACAAAATTAAACATACCCAATTTAAAATAAGATAAAATAAAAATACAACCGCACTACAAGTAAATCCAAATACATGTTGTTTTTACTAGTTGTTTGGGCAATAATTTTATTCATATTCTGGGAATGAGCTTTTTTTTCCAAAAAGCTTTCCCCAGCCTTCAATAAAGAAAAACAAATCTGGAATAATTTGGAAGTCATCTTAGTGTCAGCAAGATACTAAAATGCATATGAGTAAATTTAATGTTTGGCGGTTATATTATAACTGTAGTCATTTGTGTTTGGCTCAAACGTGTAAGGAAGGATAATACTACTCAGAAAAGTTTCAGATGGATGTTCAGAAGCATATTCCAAAAAGGTTGCTTATGAATCAGGTGATTCTCCTCAAGGATGGTAGGAAAGCAATCATCTAAGTACTATTGCTATAGTATATGGGATACTTTACAAAGAACAATTTTAATTTGCTTCTTTCTGAGATATTTGCAATAAGAACTGTTAACAGTTTGCCACTTTGGATGAACATTTTGGACACTTGCATATAGATCTTTATTAGATTACAGCTTTCTAATTTTCGAGGGCAAATTTGTAATGTTGAGAACATATTATCCATATCTTTGCAAAACATCCATCATTCTCAAAACACTCGTTTTTCAGAAAGCAAGTTGAGATTATTCTCTTCCTTCAAACTTAATATTGCTACATGGGCTCATGTTCACAAAGACGCTGAGCAGCAATTGTCTATCATTTTATTTTCTAAAAATGCCTTTGGTCGCATGGGAGATAAAATAATTGTGACTGATGCATTACTTTATGAGGATAAAAGCTGCGACTTGCTATCTCCCAATTTAAGTTGGGATTCTAGACAGCTTGACAGCAAACGTTGACCCATGTCATGCATCACTATAAGTATCTTAACCATAGTTCAGTGGACAAGCTGCAGCTGCCTGGTCTCACAGGATGCCCTCAGCCAAAAATTGTGACAAGAAACTCTATAGCAATAACGTTGCAAGCCTTGTGACTTTTTGAAGAACTTATGACGGCTTGTTTTTTATCATCACCATATACAAAGACCACATTCTCTTTTAGAATGTATTGCAGTAACTCCCAAATTCCTCATGTCCCTGAAAGGGAACAATGTGACTCATTCCAAAGGTGCCATTGCAAAGAGGCTCAAGGAGAAAGGATGGCTTGCTGTAGCAAAGCAAACAGCTGGCTGTCACTGTGCCTTCTGCATTTGCAGCTCTTTGAATGTGAATTTTTCTGAGAATAAATGAGAGGATCTGAATCATCAGATGGGAACTGGTGGTTGAGCTCCAGTTCTGACTGTGGAACTGAGAAACAAAATACATCAAAAAAATGATGCACATTGTTCAGATCCAACTTTGGAAATGCTGGCTTTTAGAGTTCATTGTCTCTGACTTCCCATGAACTGAAACACTTATAACATCAGTTGTAACTTCTAATGGATTCTAAAAACATGCATAATTTCCCAATTGTTAAAGGAATGAAGGTCACTGTTCCTTATTGGTGATGAAGACAGTTGTGCTTTGTCACTTCACCTTTCTGTTCTGTGAGCCGAAAGAGTTAATTTTATAGTTGGCTAATTCTCCCGATAACAATCATCCCTATCCCAATTATGTGTGAGAATGCAAAGGTGCAATAGAGCTCTCTCTGGTTGCTTCATAGCTGCCACAGTTGAATGTTCAAAGAGAGATTTTCACAATAAGTTATACATAAACTGGGTGATGGTTTGTTTTGTCATCAATTGTTGCCCTTCTAATACAATGTTTTCAAGCTGAAAATCTTCAGTTTTGTCCTGTTTTGTATGTATACTGAGTTTCTATTAGCATTTTGTAGTTAAAGGCTAAATAGTCCTCAACTTATGACCATTAATTTAACAATCATTTGAAATTTTGATGACACTGAAAAAAGTGAGGTCATACTTACAACCATTGCAGCAGTTTGTGGTCACATGATCAAAATTCTAACACTTGGCAACTGGCATGTGTTTACATCCTGATTCACACAATCACCATTTGTGACTTTCCCAGGGGCTTCTGACAAGCAGAGTCAATGGGGAGAGCTTGGTTCACTTAATGACCACAGAATTCACTTAATGACCACAGTAAAAGAGATCATAAAATTGGACATGACTCAGTTGACACCTGCATCACTTAGTGACAGACGTTCTGATCCCAATAGTGGTCATAGGGTCTCTCTCTCTCTTTCTCTCTCTCTCTCTCTCTCTCTCTGTGTGTGTGTGTGTGTGTGTGTGTAATATAATATAAATAACTTTGTGAAAAAC